TTTCCCCCATAATTACCTTTTAAATATAGCACAACTCAATTTTAAGTGTATGTGAGTTACAATCAACCTCATTATAACCAGAGCCAAATGTATAAAGCCCACACATTTTAACTGCTATGAATTTAATAGTGAAGTTCCCAGAGAGTTTCCAACATGTCTACAAGGCATAGTGCCATTCTGTAACCTTTTCTTAGCTTAATAAGATGTGGTTGGTGTTGGACTGATATGGAAAGTAAAGCAACTGTAATGTCTTTGAGTAACAAAATACTTAAAATACACTCCAGTTGGCTGCTGAAAGCCCTCCTATTTTCTTTGGGGCCATTTCAATCTGCTGGGAAGAGGAAATCAGCTGTTCTCTATTGCCCTTCACACTTGAACCAGAGTTTGATCAAAGGGGAACCTACAACATTTGCTATAGCAACACGAACAATTCAGGCCCATTGCTATTCCAGCCAGCTGGTTACTTTGCCATTATATGAGTGCATTTGCACTGATGCAGCTTTTTGCATCTAAGAAAAATTAATAAAACACTGTTGTTTGCTTTTAAGTTTTCTTATCAGTGAGCTATCACAAGCTTTATCATTTACCAGTTTACTAAAATGAACCAATTACTAATATATTTCATATTATTTAAAAGACCTTCACTAAGGTAGCTGGAACTGGAAGTATAAGAGGTAAAAGACCCAAGGCCTTGTGTTATTAAAGCCACCAAATGAGGGCATTAGGCTAAATAAGCATTTCTTAAAATATTACAGGAACAGATGAAATATCATTATAGAGAAAAAAAGTGGGGGAATATGTGATGGAAAAAGCTTAAAGAGTACTGAATTGAATAAAGTTAAGGAGGTTTTATTTTGAATTGCAGGATTTCTCAGTAACTTTTTTGAGTAAAACCAGTATCATTACCTAGTAGCCATCCTTGCCTATCCTATTTAGAATTGATATCAGAATTATAAAAATTTTATGAAGTATAAAGTATTTTAAATTAACAGAAGAACTTACACAACTATGATACTTAAGACTATGCATTTTAAAAAGATATGCATCCTGAATCACTTCCTGAATATAGGATTTTAAAAGAGCTTCAGGCTTATCTATAATAAAGGAGAAACTTCTATCTGCTGATAGTAGGATTTTTCACTATAATCTTTTTGCTGTTTAATATACATAGTCGAGTAAAGTGTTTTAGTATTTCTTAAATTACACTAATTCTTTCAAAACACATATAATTCTCAAAAGCTGAATCTAACTCAGTTATTTCAAGGGCAACACATCATTAGTTGATTTATTTTAAAGATTAGTGCCATTGTTATTTTAATATTCTCTTTCTCTTGACTAAACACAGCTAATAAAGTAAGGGACTTTAAAATGTCTTTTTTATGTTAAGCGTTTATGTTTTCATATGCCTGGCACCTATCTGTTAATTTTAAGACACTGGTTTGAGAACTTTAGAGTACAGAAGAATCACCAGAGGGCTGGTTAAGCTCAGACTATGCCCCCACCCCCAAGAGTTTTTGACTCAGTAGGTCTTGGACCGAGCCCATAGTCTGCATCCCTACCAAGTCCCTAAGTGATGCTGACGCTGCAGGTCCAGTAGCACACTTGAGTAAACCACTGCTTTCATAGATTCCTATTTATTAGTGCATACCTGGGTCTTTCATTTGGCTGAGGTTCCTGTCAGGCCCCAATGTGGATGGAGCCTTAAAGGAACAAAGAGAGCTGTTTATCCCAATTGTCTCCAAAATTGTCACCTTTGTATTAATTCCTAGGTTCTACCACAATAATCTCATTTCCAAAAACCAACAAATTTTCCCCCTCTTTTAATATTTTCCACTGTGGGCTAACAATGGGTAGGTCATTATATTCAAAATGTGGTCCACACTTTAGATTTCTTCCCCTCTAATCTCTGCTTCTCATTTTCCCACATAACTCATTCCCTCCCTTACATAACATTTTTGCAGGATGGTGGCTCTTTCCTGACATCACGTGCCTCTCTTCCAAAGTGGAGGGTATTGCTAGCCTTTGGGAACATGTCGCCTACAGTCACTCCTAGGTTCACTCGCTCCACGAACATTTTTGTTAAGGGCTCAACCTACAACAAATATGACAATAACTCTGTCATGAGGGACATATGAAATAAATATGAAAATAAGTTTGCTATGTTCAAGAAGTGATGTGTAAATTGAAGAAAACGATATAAGGTAATGACCAAGAGAGAGACTGGAAATGAAATGTATCTTAGCTCCTCTGGAAACAGTTCCTGAGAAGGTACCAGAAATGCTGCGATGGAGCAATCATGCGATGAATGTAGAGAAGGGCATTCCAGGCACAGAAAGCATCCGTTCAAAGCAGAAAGAGACCCAGGGTGGTTGAGGTTAGAGGAGGAACCAGCGAGGGAAATGGCTGAAGGGGAATCCAGGGTGAGGGGTGGGGGTGGCAGAAGTTTTCATAAGCCACTTATAACCCCGGGCTTCGCCCTCTCTCTGTCTCTCTGTCTCTGTCTCTGTCTATCTGTCTCTCTCTGTCCCTCTGTCTCTCTCTGTCTGTCTCTGTCTGTCTCTGTCTCTTTCTCTCTGTCTCTCTGTCACACACACACACACACACACACACACACACACACACACAC